ATCGATCCATCGATCCATCGATCCATCGATCCATCGATCCATCGATCGATCCATCCATCCATCGATCGATCCATCCATCCATCCATCCATCCAATGTATATATATATATGTGTGATCTATGAATCAATTAATTATGAATCTGTATATTATGATGAATCACGATGATCTATGAATCTATGAATTAATGGGAGTACATCATCATAGATCATCATGCCATGGAACGTATCATGCCATGCATCCCACAGCATCGCAGGCCTTCAAGCACGGCTTGGGCGCTTTGGAGTCCATCCCTATGGAGGGCTGGATTCAGCTGGTGGCTCTGCACCTTGACGACCGTTTAAGCAGTTACCCAGATTCCAGGATCTCTCCATAGCAAAAGCTAGATAAACCCGAATCCCTCTTTTCTGCATTTCACTTCTTGGAGTGGAGGGAGATATCTCTAGGGCCTCCATCCGCCTCCAGGATCGGCGCACATGAAGTGCTGGTGAAGCCTCGGCAAGGCAGGTGACCATCCGAGCTTAGCTGTGGTGTTTCCAATGAGACAAGGCACACATGTGGTCCTGGGGCTGAGGGCCAAACAACAAGCAGGGAGGGGAGTCCTCTTTTCTTCGAAGAACTTGGATCGAATGGCGAGCATTTGGCTTATTTGGCCTCTTCCCAAAGCCAGACGAAGCCGGTTGCAAGGAACACATTACTTTGATTGGAACGGGACTGTCTGCGATGTGCTCGTTGTTTTTCATTTTTTCAATAAACCCTTGGTGAGACTGTTGATGGATAAACATCTTGCAAAACCTTGGAGAGAGTGGACTTGGAACGTGACGTTGTTTTCTGCGATACGTAGAGTCAGGTAGAGCCCAAAGGGTGGAGCCACGAATTCGATTCTTTGACCGCAACTTGTAAGTCATCTAAAGGTGGATCTAGAGGGGTGGCATCCGGTCTCTCTCTTTATGTTGGGGCGACACCGCACCGACCGCAGCACGAGCGGGGGCCAGGTGGCATGGGCCCCTCGGACTTCGGCTTGGGCACCGAATTGCTGGACGGCATCGAGGACGAGGCCACGGGGGCCGTCCATGGGCTACGGCGAAGCCAAACGGAAAGCGCGCGCATTCTCTTTTTTTTTTTTTCCCGGAAGGGGAAGGATGTCCAAAGGGAAGGGCTGGTTTTTTTTCTTGGCAATTGGCAGGTTTTGTTTTTTCTTTTCTCTTTCCATACAAGAGCTGTTTTCCTGCTTGTGGTATAGTGATTCAAGAGCGTACTAGGGTGTGGGAGGATTCATAGCCAGTTCAACGTTGCAACACTTGACTTTCCTTCAGCTAAATCTGGGTCAAGTTGGGGACGGGGACGGTTCACATCTCTGAAGTCTTTTTGGTTTGTCATCTGCGATTGGGTGTTCTTGTCTAAACTTGTGTATGTGTGTGTATGCGTGTGCGGGTGAACATGCACCGGTCTGTGTTTTTTCTTCTTGCTTAACGCACGCGTGACGGGAGTGGGCTTCGGCTGCGACAAAGACAGACTCGTATCAATCCTGGACGGGAGATATTTGAACCTGAAAGTATTTTGAAAGCACCATGGGCCATGGGGTAACCGGGTAGGGGGCAGGATATACTCACTCTCTTTGAACTCTCGATGCCAGAATGAACCGCCACAGACCCAGACCAGCTTCATGCTTTGATGGGTAGAAGCTGATCTCTATAGGGGGCTATCTTAAAGCTGGGTGCATGGTCGTGGGATCAAGTCAATGGACGACCTGTAAATATGAACGTGATTCAAACGATGTTCCCGTTCACAACAATGGAGTGGCTGAAACTACCCATGGTCAGGAGCTGGAGCGCAAGCAGACCGTTGAGCGCAACAATGGTCGCTTAATCGCAGCAGAAGTGCATTGAATTACTCGAGCCTGCCTGAGATGAATTGACCTCAGAGTCTGGACTAGGGGGCGAGCTATTGTCTTGCGTGTACCGTAGAGCCATGGTAAATTGGACAGGATAGGTTCGTTTTGCGAGTCGTTCCCAGCGATGAGGTCGTTTGGCCATGGTTGCCATCATGGGACTGATGGTGCAGGCCGCTGAGCTGAGTGAAACGCGGGTCTCAAAACGACTCCCAGGCTTTTTGGGGATTGCCCATGTTCCCAAGCAACGACTCCCATGACACACAGCCCCAATCTTCGGCGACTTGACGATCCCATGGACCCCCGAGAATTCACCCGTGGATGACGACGACCATTGTCCTAGCTCGTGCTGTGCGGAAGCAAAAGGGGTCGGGTAGTGAGGGTCCGGTAGCTCCTCTCGTGTCTATTTTGCTTCTTGAAAGACCACCTGAAAGAATTCCTTTTCCTGAGCCATGATACCGAATCCCATCAAAAGACCTCCAGAAATCCAAATCTTCCAGTCCCATGTGTGTGGGCGAAAAAGATGAACAAGTGTGACAGTGTTGCCGAAACGAAGCAGCATCGACAGTGACATGTTTATTTTGGTCCGGGGCCTCTCGGAGATACCCCGGGATCCTAAAAACCACTGGTTTGTAGAGGAAAGCAGCTTTTGAGGGTGCCATTCTACTGTAGTTTGTTTTCGGGAGTGCATTTGATATTGCTTGCAGGATGGCATGTTCGGAGAGCCTCCTCTGAGCTACATGTCCAAGAATGGCTGGTGGGGCGAGCCGGTCCAGTGGTACGTCCAGCACATCAACAACTGCCAGTGCCTGGGACGTGGAGCAAGGGAAGTTTGAAGGAATCCGCAGATGCTGTGCACTTCCTTTCGGGGTAACCCTGACTGAAGCAAGCGTGCCTAATTCGACTGCCCTGTGTCGGTTCCGGGTGGCAGCCGGTAATCACAGTAACACGGAGGTGGTATATTAGGATGAAAGAAACAAAACATCTGGCGGTATAAGCAGCAGTATACCACCAGTATCACAGTATGATTGGCCACTGACCGTGTCACACATTTTACATCCTGTTTCCAGCCACGGCAACCAGAAAAAGATGTATGATGTGTGTGAATCGCCATAGATTCCATCGTCCATCAGGTCCTTCACTGGCGCCGTGGTGGACAATGCCGCTGTCTGCGCTTTGCCACGCCGCACCGGCCGAACCACGCTCCGTGCTGGCACCAAGTTGAGCGAGGGGCCATTCATTGAGACTGAGACCTACCCAAAGGACGGGGGCGCGGAAAGAAAGAATCTGGATATGATATGACTGATCCTTCTTGATGGCCGACTTCCATTTAGTACACCAGCTTGACTTGGTTGGTTCATTAGGGAACAAAGACATTCTCCTAATGGATGAATTGTCAAAACAGGTCAACTGCACTTTTCTTGCTCTTCCGATATGCTTAATGCCGTGGGACCTGTTTTCCTGACTGGTAGACGCATGGGAATGTTGAAGCCTCGCCAGTTTTGGTGGGGACACTTGTTGTGGTCGCCGATATCCAACCGAGAGCTGCAGGAGATGGAGATGTCTGCGTCCGTGCCATTCCTTCGCTATCCGCAGGTCGTGATCATGAGTTCTGGCTGTTCACTTTCCATGCAAAGATGCCCTGCGCAGATCTTTGCTTCATCTGAACTCAGATGCAAGCTGACCTTAGAATGCTGCATGCAAGTGCCCCACACTGCATTCCTGCGAAGCCGGAAATTCACCAAGCTTTCGAAGCAAAGCACTGAAAGCGCCCGTTGGGCAGCATTTTGGTCCCCATTTCTTCCAATTTGTTCACAAATCCATGTGAAACACAGTGAACATACCCACTCCCAAGAGCCTTCTTCCATGTGAACCAAGCGCCTGGCGCGCCTGGCGCCAGGTGTTGAAGGGCTGGGTCGGTGAGGAGAAGGGCTTCGACCCTTTGGGCGTCACCGATGCTCTCCCCGTCTACTGGGTGCGTGAAGCGGAGCTCAAGCACGGACGCGTCTGCATGCTGGCCACCGTAGGCGCGGTTGGCGTGGAAGACGACCGATATGTCGTTGGGGAAGACAACCGAGCATTTGAGGGACCTGCGAAGTCTTGAGAAGATGTGCATTCTAGAACAGTTGTATGAAGACTCTGCGCAAGTAAGGCCAGAGAAGTACAGAATCTCAAGACGTGCAAGTGCGCACATTTTGCAACCTTATTACTTTGTAGCAAGAGTTCACAGTATCCACTGGCCACGTCCTATCGCATGCAGACCTGAAGAGAGCTTTTAGAAGGCAGAGATGCGCTGAACATATATTAATCGATCCATTCGTTGGATCCATTCATGCAGAATATGACTTTCCAATTTTGGGTGTCTGAAACATGAAAGACTCCGTTTGCCATACCAAACACCTGGACAATTCTTGATGGTTTGATTCGCCTTTGGCGAAGACCAAGACGTGGGTGTTTTTCGGTGGTTCGTCTCCGGGGCTCGAAGCTTCCACATGTTCAGGCTGGATCGCCACTGACATGGGCTTCCGCTTCCCAGGCGACAAGTTCCAGGCCGTGTCCAATGCCTTTGAGGCCAGAATGAACGACTGGGAAGGGTGATTTCGTCGAGTGACCCGGTGGGAGGATTGTTTTTGGGCGGTGTCTTTGCTGGGATTTTGTAGGGAAAGGAGCTCGAAGTCTAAGCTTCCCGGCTAGTTTCAGAGGTCTTGTGGCCTGGTTGTTTGTAAATACTGGTAGCAGAAGTGTTGGTACAGTAGATGCACAAGAGACATTTTGTCTAAACTAAGTTCTCAAGATCTACAAGGGACTGTGAAATCAAGATAAGATGAGTCTCGACATGTGCTTTCACGGTATCTTGCTTTAGCCTCGGTTTCATAGCCAACTTCAATTAAAAAGACGGGCGGCTTCATGGTGTGACAAGGTGAACTCTTCCGGAAGTTCCCACTTCCCACCTTGACCAGACAGCCTTCTTTCCTTTTTTCAAAAGGGCCGTTTTCCCGTAGTGAGGCTCATGACAAGATGGTGGAGGCTGGCTACATGCTGCCCTTCCTTGGTGCTATTGGCACCGTCGAACTCTACGTCACTCGACTGCAGAGTTTTGGTGCACGATTCGTTTGTGCGGCGTGGCTGCTCGAATTTCCACCGTCCGGACCAAAAACAACAAACAAACGCACAGACACAGAGACAGAAAACAACAACAAACACAAACACATGCTGGGAAGTATATAGATTAAACATCATTGAAGGGAGTGAGAAGTCCGAAGGTTCCGGTGCCACGTCGATAATGGGGCTTCAGTTTGATCTGAAGATCTGGTCAAATCACGGCCACCTTTTTCGAACACTTCCTGCCTTGAGAAACATGCGGCTTGGAAACAAGGACAGCGCCTCGGGGCTTCTTTCAGCCTGAGGAACTGTAATAGTTTGCCCAGATAGCACCTGAGCTAGCAACAGTGGCTTCACAAGTGGCAGAAGCACCTAGACTAACCATACACACGCAAACCTTGGCTTCTAGCAAGCTGCCAGGTAACTTCATAGAGTATAGATGTTTGGGAGACAATGGCTGCTCTAATACTCTAAGAAGCCGACTAGGTATCACCGTTACTCGTGGAATATGTTTGGATTCCTAGCTTTTGAAACGCTACTGTACCGCTTGCAACTTCTCTGCCAGTCTGGATGGCTCCTCTATCAGGGCTGGTTGAAGGAGGCCAGCGGGAGCCGCAAAGGGATGTGATTTTCACAACCCGTTTGACCTTTTGTCCACTTCAATCTGCATGAGATATTGTAATTAGCTGTAGCTTCGTTTCAGTTTGTGGCCACATCCTTCTTGATGCAGTGTAGCGCAGCGGCCGCATTTGGAGGCAACCGCATGAGCGTTGAAGCAAATTATGTAAGGGCTCCGCCCTGGTGCCGCCGACCCCTTTTTTTGTGAGACAAGGCAGCATGGCGAGGAAGGCAACAACCGAAGTTGGACATAGTGCTCCCCAGCTACTCTGCGTACTAAAGTTGTATTGCTAAGTCGCCACT